TGTGAAACACCACTGGGCAGCTCCTAACCATGCTCCTAAAGGTCCCCAAACCATCCAGATGTCTGTGTAACGCCACTGGGCAGCTCTAACCGTGCTCCTAAAGGTCCCCAAACCATCCAAATGTCTGTGAAACACCACTGGGCAGCTGCTAACTGTGCTCCTAAAGGTCCCAAAACAATCCAGATGTTTGTGAAACGCCTCTGGGACGCTACTAAAGTCCCAGCACCTGAGTGGCACGCTGGTGGCAGTGGCTGTGGTTACCTGGCTTCCCGGCGGGGCTGTTACACTGCGGCTGCTGCACGGACAGCGAGTCACCCGTGGCCTCCGCCGCCGTGCAGGTGCAGCCGCTCCGGGTCCTGGGCTCGCCGTCCCCGGGGGCACAGCACCGACCCTCGGAAAGGTCCCCGTCCCCGCACAGCCTGCCCAGCCTCCCTGGGGAACCTTCTGCTGCCAGAGGGGCACTTTGCAACCATTATGGGTTTTATCTCAGCAGTTGTTTTCCCACGACTGCAAAGACGAAATTTTAATTGCCGGGCTGTGAGGCGAGGAGGGGGAGCGCCCTGTGGGCGGAAAGGCTGACGGCGGAGCTTGGAGCTGCCGGCAGCGGGACAGCAGAGGGCACCAGACGCTCCGGCGGAGGAAATGGGGAATAAATGAAGCGCTGGGCTCGCAGGGGCTCACTGAGGGCTCAGCACTGCCGGCTGTGGCAGCCCGGGGCGGCGCTGACAGCACGGCCGGCGCGGATCCCGGCCCGCCGCCTCCCTGAGGAGCCGGCCCCGCGGAGCAGGTAAAGCCTCCAGGGCAAAGCCTCCCTGGAGCCTCCCTGGGCAGAGCCTCCCTGGGTAAAGCCTCCAGGGCAAAGCCTCCCCGGAGCCTCCCTGGGCAAAGCCTCCCCGGAGCCTCCCAGGGCAAAGCCTCCCTGGGCAGAGCCTCCCTGGGCAAAGCCTCCCTGGGTAGAGCCTCCCTGGGCAAAGCCTCCCTGTCCCACAGCGCTGCAGAGCAGGTAAAGCCTCCTTGGGCAAAGCCTCCCTGGAGCCTCCCTGGGCAGAGCCTCCCTGGGCAAAGCCTCCAGGGCAAAGCCTCCCTGGGTAGAGCCTCCCTGGGTAGAGCCTCCCTGGGTAAAGCCTCCCTGGGCAAAGCCTCCCTGGGTAAAGCCTCCCTGGGCAAAGCCTCCCTGGGTAGAGCCTCCCTGGGTAAAGCCTCCCTGGGCAAAGCCTCCCTGGGCAAAGCCTCCCTGGGCAAAGCCTCCCTGGGCAGAGCCTCCCTGGGCAAAGCCTCCCTGGGTAAAGCCTCCCTGGGCAGAGCCTCCCTGGGCAAAGCCTCCCTGGGTAAAGCCTCCCTGGGCAAAGCCTACCTGGGCAAAGCCTCCCTGGGCAAAGCCTCCCTGGGCAAATCCTCCCTGGAGCCTCCCTGGGTAAAGCCTCCCTGGGCAAAGCCTCCCTGGGTAAAGCCTCCCTGGCAAAGCCTCCCTGGAGCCTCCCTGGGCAAAGCCTCCCTGGGTAAAGCCTCCCTGGCAAAGCCTCCCTGGAGCCTCCCTGGGTAAAGCCTCCCTGGGTAAAGCCTCCCTGGGCAAAGCCTCCCTGGGCAAAGCCTCCCTGTCCCAGAGAGCTGCAGAGCAGGTAAAGCCTCCCTGGCAAAGCCTCCCTGGGCAAAGCCTCCCTGGGTAAAGCCTCCCTGTCCCACAGCGCTCTTGGGCCGCGCTCCGCGGCTCCGCCCGCCGCCGCCAGCCCGGCGCGGCTCTGCTCCGCTGCTCCGTCTGCTCCGCGCCCGCTCCCCGGGCTCCGCCCGGCCGCAGCTCCCGCTGCTGCTCCCAGCGTGGCGCAGCTGCCAGCGCACGGCCGCGGAGCGCCACCAGCGCTGTGCTCGCACGGGCTCGGTGCGGCTGGCTTGTCCAGCCCGGAGAGCTCAGCTGCTCCTCAGCAGATCGCGCTGGCAGAGTGGCTTTTTCACTGCCAGGTGACCGCAACAGGCTGCCAGGGAGCAGCTGCAGCATAGGCTGAAACCACAGAGTGGCCAAAACCTATGAGGCTGAAAGCCCAAGAGCACCAGGACACCAGCTGTATGTTAGTTCCTCCGTGAATTCCGCCCTAAAAATGACTTTATGCCTGGGGTTCAGTACTGCCATACCAGTTGCTGTGCTAGGGCAGGTGTTATGCTTTCCTCTGGGGTTGCCAGGTCTGTCTCCCAGTCTTGGACAATAGAAACAGTTCACTTACTTAATGCAATAATCTATATTCACTATAATTTGCATGTTGATATTTAGAAGTTGCTGACTTATAAGGCAAGGTATTGGTAAGAGATTGTAGGAATTTGGGCACTTTCTGTGCCTGGCTCATTTCAAACACTTCCTATATGAGCTGCTCACAAAGTCAGATTCATCCTCTTTGCTGGTGGCAAATGCCCTGAGATATTTAAAGGAAGAGCAGGAGACAGTCTAAGTTCTCAGATTCATGTTTTCTGTCCTAGCAAAATTTTTGCTGCGTACCTTTGAAGGCTGAGATCAGATACGTTTTGCCCACTTTCCCTTCTTTCTCTGGAGGCCTGTTATCTACTAGGGCTGCTGGTACCCCTGTTGAGCTGTTCCTCCCCAGCAGAGGAATGGCTTTGTATTTAGGGGCACAAATCCTGCCCACAGCAGCCTACAGCAGTGTTCCCACTGCCCCCGGGAGCAAAGCTGCTGGGCTTGAAGGGCTCAAGCCCTGAGGATGTACTCATGTCTGGCAAGACCCAGAGCAAAGCCACGGAGTGGCTTCAGCAGCAAAGCAAGGGCCATGGAGGGCAAGTGGGGAATGCTGCCCAGGGCAAATGGGGAGTGCTACACAGCTCTGGTGTGGGCTGTCCTAAAGCCAGTGGCTCTGACAACCACAGCAGGGGCAAAGATAACAACAAAAAAAGTCATTCTGCTTTGCTATGACCCAAACTGTTCGTACCAGGACTGGAGGGATGGTGAAGCAGGCTTAACCCTGCACCAGCAGCAAGACAGGGCTGTCTTGGTGGCTTTGTTCTGCCTTTTGTGGTAGCTGGCTGTGAGTGACAGTGTAACTTTGATGGCTGAGGGACTGATGAGCCACAGAACCCCTCCAGAGGCTGCCCACACGGGCAGTGCAGGGACACGAGGAGCTGCAGGGCCATGAGAGGGGGGACAGCTGCAGGACACTGCCACTGAGCTCAGTCTCATGCCTGCACTCTTTCCTTGCAGAGACAGCCCAACATGGAGAACTGCACTGGGAGAGTTGCATATGATATCACTGTGGTGCTGCAGCTGGTTGTGTACATCCCCGTGCTCGCTCTGGGGATCCCACTGAACGCAATTGCCTTCTGGGTCTTCTGCTGCAAAATCAAGAGGTGGACCGAGACCAAGGTGTACATGATCAACCTCATCGTGGCAGACACTTCCCTGCTCTTCACCCTGCCTTTCCTGCTATATTTTACCAAGTACAAACACCCCATAGACCAGCTGTGTTTAGCCATACAAAACATCTATTTTACAAACATGCCTATGAGCATCTTTATCATCACCCTGATTGCGATTGATCGGTACATTGCAATCAAGTTCCCTCTAAAAGCAAAGAATCTTCGATCCCCACTGAAATCAGCTTCTATCTGTGCCTTTCTTTGGATAGCAATGATAATTTATTCCAGTTTGTATCACACACTTCACAGTAACAATAGGGAAGATTGCTGCTTTCGGAAACAATCTCTTCTACCTAGGTATTCCTCTTTATTCTACACTATCTGTGGGTATTTTATTCCCTTAGGGATTGTGATTTTTTGCTCAGTACAAGTCATCAGATGTCTAAAGAAGAAGATGGACACAAGCCCTCATGAGACAAAATTATTCCAGAAGGCCGTGCAGATAGTTTCTGTGAATTTGTGTGTGTTTGCCATCTGTTTCTCACCTTTCCACATCTCACTGCTCTTGCGGTTTGCAGTGGAAGTTGCTGGAGCTCATTCTCTGATACCGGGAGTTGTAACCTATATTAAGGTCTCAGCATGCTTAGCAAATTGTAACTGCTGTCTGGATGCATTTTGCTATTATTTTGCAGCCAAGGAATTTCCAGAGTTTTCTTCTATGTTCCCCAAGTGTATATTTATGAGGTCCAAGATGAGCCAAGGTGAGGAGTCACAGCCACCCACAGACCAAGTGATACTATGAACAAGGTGTAGTGCACAGCAGGTGTTGAGTGCCACAATGCTGCTCAAGTTTTGAGGCACAGGCAATGGAACCACATACAGTGTTTGCAATCATTGTAGGCATAGGCATATGTACAAAAAAGAGCAAACCCCTCCAAAGAGTCTGGTGTTAACTTGAATTTTGTCCTGCTGTCCTCAGTGACTTGACTCCAGCTCTGACTACCGTGTTGTATCATTGCATTGCAGCTCCAGGCGCCTCCTGGTGACAGCTTGTCTTGGTTGGCTTCATGGTCCTTCACTTTCAGTGTCTTCTCACTTGTAAACCTCTAAAAAATTTCCTCTGGGGGCTGCAAGCTCATTTTCTGATGATGTAAACGCAGAGACATTTAACTTCCTTAGTGACAACTGACATAGAGTTCCCCAAAAAGTCTGTCACCACGCAGTGACACTGGTTCGGACCACAGTCTGAAACCACTGACTAGACCTTGGTGAAATAAACATGCAAAGAGCTGTTCCCAGCACGGAAAGTGTCCATATCCAGACATTAGACCCTCCTGCTGTGCGTCAATTCTTGGGCAGGCAACACGGTGGAAACTACAGTGAGCAAGGGTGCCATAAAAACAGATGAAACTACTCAGGTGGTTCAGCTGGTAATTCATGTCCCAGTTTTCTTCACTGGTGTATTTTTAATGCTTTGGCACTACTGATATTTTACTGCAAGCAGAGCAAGTAGTGTGTGTGTATGTGACCAGTTTAACCATTGCACACTGTTTAGCCCTCGTTCTGCCTTCTAAATTCTCTTTTGAAAGACAGGAAAAGATATGGGAGACAAATAGTGCCTGATCTTATCAACTATCTACTGCTTAAGGAGATGTGTGAGTGTCACCCATTAACAAATATGCTGCAATTAATTCAGAATGCAAGGGGCTTCTTGACAGACATCTCTTACAATCCAGGCAAGTGGCGTTCAGCAAGGAAAAACACTTCTACTTCAGGAACAGCACAGAGGGCCTTCAGAAACATTTTTGGACCTAGGTTCCCTTCTGAGAACTTGCATCTCATTTCTTATAATGAATGTCTGTTCCAAAAATATTATTATGATTTTTTAATTATTTTGAAAAAAGAGATGAAGATTCATATCAACCTATTACAAACAGCTTGATTATTTTTGCAATTCAGTCATGCTCATGTTTTCTTCCAGTTAACATGGAGAACTTGTTCAGTTTCCAGTGGGCTCCAAATAGGTCATCTACCCTGAAATACAGAAGAGCAATGCTTTTTATACATGTGGCCTCACATATAAGTGTTCCTTTTTCTCATTGTAAAGGGGAAATTAGTTGACTTCACAATCTCTGTCATCATGAAGATTTTTTTTTGCTGTTTACACTGAATGCAATGAAAACAAACAAAAAAAATCCATACTTTTGCAAGTGAAAATAAAGATGCAACATAGTAATATATCTATAAATAAATATTCATTTATTACCATTATACATCATAGTCCTCTACTCTTAATGCTAAACCAGTACTGGAGATTGGGAGAAAAGACTTTGCTACTGAGATATAAGATCTGCCTTACAGCAGGGTATTTAACAGTGAAACCCAAGGAAGAACAAGGAACTTTCTGATTATCTGAAGATATATGTTTTACCTTGGACAAAAATTATTATCTGGTTTATATGTCAAGTTTAGGATGGGTTTCTGGCATCTTGCTTCAGTCTGAAAAAAGCCTCAGCTCCCTGAGTGCTCCCAGTAAATGGAACAGATGAGTTTTCAGACCCTGGGCCACAACAAGCAACTGCTGGCCACCATCCAGCACTGCAATAGCAATCCAGGAGGATGGTGACACCCTTAACCCCAAATCTTTTCTACTTCCTAGCACAAAAGTCTGGGAAATGGTAGTGGGGACCAGCCACAGCTGCCCAAGTCCAAAAGCTGCTCCAAACAGCAAGGCTGAACCACTGCATTTTACCAACATTTCTGCAAGATAAAACTTTTCTGTCCCTTAAAAGAAAAAATTGCTAATAATGGTTTCTATTCAGGGTTGAGACAAAAAATATAAACAACAAACCACAAAGAAAAGCTTACAAAATAATTTGGAATCTTGCTTTCCCGTGAGTGAGTAAGTGAGTGAGTGGCCATTGGATATAGCATTTTTGGCCCACGTATGTATGGAAGGCAGGGGCTGGCATTGGACAGTATTTTGGGTGCCATTTGGGCAGGCCTGAAACCTGAGTTCTTCCAGAGGTTTGAGCTCCAGGGGGCTGAAGGACACATAGTGGGGAGCTGTGGGCTGGGTGGTGCTTTCTGGTGCTGCAGACATCTCTGATTTTGTTTCCTTGGCACAGCACAGCTGTTCCAGGGGTGAGCACTGCCCAGCAGCCTCCAGGGAACTCCACAAGCCCTGAAGCAGCACCAGGCTCTTGGGAAGCACAGGCTTTTCCATGCCCTGCCCAGTGTGTGTGCACACATAGCTGGTCCCTGGTGCTGCTGATGCCTTAGAACTTTAGCTTTTATGTTTTTCATATATCCGTAATCCTGCGGTTCTTTAGTGTATAACTCTAAACTCCACACACAGTGTGAGCTGCTGCTTTCCCATTTTGGGCAGACACAGCAATTCCTCTCCAGGCCTGGCAATCAAGGACACCTCACTGCCTCAGGCCAGAGAGATGGAAACAAAAGTGAGTGGGGGGAGCAAACTGGGGGTAAATTACTTCATTAGCTGAAACTGAAATTGGAAGATGAGCCCCCAGTATGCAAATGGACCAAACTTATAGAAGTGTGAAAACCTGTGACCCGTGGTCCATTTTTGGGTGTAGCCCCTGAGGGGCTTTGTCCACCCTAAATGTTCCTGAAGGCTCTTCAATAAATATAACTTCTTTTTGTTCCCTTAATTTTGTCTGGCCTCTGTTTTTAGGTACCCTCAAAAGGCATTGCTGCAGGAGTGTGGGAAGGGTTGCAGCACAGGAGCCCTGACAGTGTTTTCTATTGCAGGCAATTCTGTGCAGTGCTGGGGAAGGGGAAAGGGGAAACAGCCCCAACAGCCAGGGCTGGTCACTTTGAGGGATTGCTGCACTTAGTCTCAAACTGCCATTTGATGTGCTAAAAATAAGACTGACATGTTTTGCTCTCAACACTATAGTTCTCTTTTGGTCAAGATCTGCTGTTGCACCATCCCCTCTGGCCGTGAGAAAGGCAGGAAAGAAACCCTGCAGGGCAGAGGCCCTGCAGGGCAGCCCAGAGCCCTGTGTCCCTCTGTGTGTGTGGAGATGGTACCAGCACCCCTCCCATCCTGCCTGAGGCTCTGCCCCACTCCGACATTCCAGGGGCTGCAGCCAGCAGGACACAGATGGAGATTTTCCCTGGCAGGGAAAGGAGGCAAGAGCCCATCAATCTGTGTGTCAGCTGGCCATACCAGTGCTTCTTTACCTTACAGGAATATTTTTCCCACTGGCTACTTTCATTAAGAAAATCACTTTTCCAGGCACAATGTGGTGGATGCTGGTGTCAGTGCAAGGTTCTATGGGGCTTGCTGCAGGCACCAGTGCAACCTGTACAGGCACCAGTGCTCTGCAGTGCTGCTGGGTCCTGGAATACCCTGGCTGAGAGCTGCCGGCAGGGAAGTGAGAACGCAGCACAAGTGTCACCCCACTGAGCCACACGGGGACAGCACTCACAGCATTGAGACAGAGGAGCTGCAGAGGCAGGGGAAATACCAACAGTGATCCATGGCAGGGCTGATAAAACCTGTGACTGCGTGGAAGGAGGGGACCGTGCGCAGCTGCAGACGACAACTGATGGGGACACGAGGTGGAGAGAAGAATGGGGATCCTGATGCTGTGGTGACCAGGAATCAGGCACAGACCCAAGAGCCTCAGCAGGAGCCATGTAAGTTCTCTGCAGACAGCACTTTATGCTAGCTTTGCCTGCTGGTAGCTGGTGTTGAGTTGGCTTTGACACATGCTGGTGAAGCTGCTGCTCACAGACAGGTGCTTTGTGCTTTGTGCCTTGTGACATGGCTTCTGCCTCTCTTGAGACCTCACTGGGCTGATGAGACCCTCATCTGGCAACCACAGCACCAAGCTGTGGATGGGAAGCACCACACTGGAGAGGTTCTGTGAGCTGAGCCCCTCCAGGCATGACTTTGACTGCTCATGGTTTATACCACTAGTGATTGCCTGGACACAGACAAGAGGAGGCTGTGAACAACACTTGAGGACAATGCAAAGTTTTCTATACAGTGATGAAACTAGCACAGCCCAGAATCTGAATGATTTTGAAGACTAAAGTACCAACAAGGACCATGACATAAAAATGTTGTTGGTTGGGGATTGATGAGCTGGGCACACTAATATGTCAGTAACTACTTGTAAGCATCCACCAAGGAGCAGCCCCAAGAAAGGCAAAAGCAGTTCCTGGAAATTGAGAAGTTTGTAATATCGTGACTGTACACTAGCATGGAATTATTTTCAAAGGGTGTGAATGTGATATCTGTGATATGCAGACAATGCAGAAATACTCCGGAAGCTGCTCCAAGGTGACCTGGAAAGTGGAAAGGGGAAATACGTTTGCCCAAGACAGCAATTCAAGGTGCTAACATCAGGACCTTTAAGCTCATTGATGACCTTGTCTGAGCATTTCTGGTAAATAGGCTGTCATGGGGAGCCCAGAGCAGCCCCTGGGACACAGACACCCACAACCACTGAGCAGTCACAAAGCCAGCAGGTCACAGGGTCACGGTGCCACGTTTTCTCAGAATTGCTGGCTGAGAAGAGCTATGGCAGACAAGAGAACTACTATGATTCAGAGTGAAATGCTTTGTGATAATCATGAAACTGCCTGTAAACCACGGTCCTCACCTCTCCAACAGCTGCAGGACTGTTAGGGCTGTTCTGTCCCACGGCTCAGGCAGTGTGACAACAGAAGCCACTCCTGCTCCAATCCCAGGGGTGGCACTCTGGAAGGCAGAGAGGAGACCTCAGGACCTTCCAGGGCAATGGGTCCCCTCCAAGCAGAGTCTGTAGGGTGAGGAGGGTCAACAGGCATTGCCCAGTGAGACATCAGGCAACGGAAGGTAAAGGAAAGACCCAAAGATATTCCACCTCCAGAGGAACTGCTGCAGGGATTGCAGGGCAGACAAGCCTTTCACCTCCCTGCAGGACTCTTGCAGGCTCCTCAGTCAGCAGGAGGTGGTACAAGCTACACCAATGGTGATGACAGAGGAAGCTCTGCCCTTTGTTCAGGAGGGGTGCGGGTGCTTTATCGGCCAGCCTTGCTGCTCTCACAGCCACCAGAAATTGTGATCAAAGGACACTTCACTGGTCATGTGCAAAGAGATCTGCTTGTCGAGCCTGCATAGCACTCCACAGCTGGGCTGGAGGAACTCACTCTCTGCAAGGACAGCAAGAGAACAGGTAATTTCTCCTGGCTATTTACTGACACAGTTATTTGCATTCTGCAAGGCATCGCCTTTCCCCAGCCATGGTGGGACACCAGAATGGGGATGGAGAAAGAAAGGGCTGGAGCCAATATATTTTCAAATGTTCGTTTTGATGCTGACCACATCTGACATGTTTTGGGATGCTTAAGGGCTGTCTCAGCCTTTGCTAGATCTTTTCTAGGTCTCCCTGGTATGATCTTCCCTTCTATTGTATGGGCTCATAATGCATTTCTCATGTCCAGAGAACAGAGCTGCTGCAGATATCTGCTGTACGACATTCTCTCACCTCTTCAGAGGTCTCCTGGCATGATTCCTCTGCTGCATGATTTTCAAAATTAACCAAGGCCCACAGATGCACATAAATGCTGCAGCACTGCCTTATGGTTTGCTCGCTGGGGACGCTTTTGAGACCCATGAACCTTCCCCCATGGAGCCACGTTCCCCTGGCAGGGAAAACCCAAAGACATATCAGACATCCTGGGTCTCTTCTGTCCATAAACAGTTGCACCTGGAACATGCTTCTGCATTAACTCCGCCAAAACTGGAGGGCAAACAGCAATATTGCCCATAGATCCAAGGTGATCAAACCACCCACTAGACCAAACATAGCTCACCTCTTCCACATCACATTCCTG